CCCTCCTCCTCGCGCGCACGCTCGCCACCCCCACCCCTGGTCTGGCTGGGAACTTGAACCGGTCCAGCCTGTTTAAACGGAAAGGACAGAGATCCTGTCCGCTCAATGTAAAAAAAAAAAAAAAAAAAAATCAGATCAGACTGAGAGAGAGAGGAAAGAGGGAGGGAGTGAGAGAGGGGGGAGAGGAGAGAGAGCGCGCGAGCGCGAGCGAGCAAGAGAGAGAGGGGGGAGAGAGAGAGAGAGAGAGAGCGCGAGCGAGCAGCGAGCGAGAGGAGAGCGAGGTGTAGGGAAATCGAGGGGGAGAGAACCCGAGTGTGTGTGTGCGTGTGCGTGTGTGAGCGCGAGCGAGCGAGGGAGAGGAGCGAGAGAGTGCGAGCGAGAAAGAATAAAAGGAAAGAAGATTTTCTCTATGTATATAAAGATGGCCACGTTAGCAAACGGACAGGCTGACAACGCGAGCCTCAGTACCAACGGGCTCGGCAGCAGCCCGGGCAGCACCGGGCACATGAACGGATTAAGCCACAGCCCGGGGAACCCGTCGACCATTCCCATGAAGGACCACGATGCCATCAAGCTGTTCATTGGGCAGATCCCCCGCAACCTGGATGAGAAGGACCTCAAGCCGCTCTTCGAGGAGTTCGGCAAAATCTACGAGCTTACGGTTCTGAAGGACAGGTTCACAGGCATGCACAAAGGTGAGTGCACCTTTCCCTCCCAACTTTGCCGGGGAGAAAGAGCGGGCGGGCGGGCAGACTGGCTGGCCGGCCGGCGACCGAAGAGCGGGAGATGGAGCGAGAGGGAGCCTCGGGCGGGCGCCGAGGAGGGAGGCGCTCGGGTAGCGGAGACCAGAGCTGGGGTGCATGGGGAGCTGTTCGCTGGGGCAAGGCTGGGTTTGGCGCGAGGAGCTGAAAAGAGCGGTGCCATGGGGAGAAAAGTGGGCGCAGAAGATGAAGCGAGAGAGAATCGAGGTGGATATGGGACTTGGGTTTGGGGGCACAGCGACTTGAAAGATTGGGATGGGGATAGTTGCACTGGCAGAGCCCAGGACGCTGAGCGGACTGGCGGGCGCTCGGCGGGCCAGGGACCTGGGTGCTGTCCATCGCCGTGGTGCTGAAATACTAAGGGAGATGGTCTCCTCATCCTCCGCTCGGGGCCAGAGTAGCAGGAGTGCAGCCGTCTAAAAGGAAGAGAGGTGACAAATTCAAAGAGATGTTTTTATGTTGGTATCAATTTAACAGTAAACTCTCCCTGTCGATCTGGATGCCTCAATAATCTGATCGTGGTGTGAGTCGTGGGGTGGGGGATGGGGGCGTTGGATGTTTGAAGGAACCAGTGATAAAACCTAAGACAAGAATTAGCAAGGAACCAGCCATCCCCTGGGTGGAGTGGGAGGTCTGAGAAGCCTGGATAGTCCCCCTCCTAGGAAAGCGGGGCTTTGGAAAAATATGTGTGTGCAAGATATGCATTTTGAAGGGTGTACCCTAATTTATTCCAAACTCACCATGCAGAGAGCTTTATAATACATTATTTCTCCCTTGAAGCAATCATTGCTAGTGAGTGCTTGGGGGAAGGGGAGACAGATAATCAAAGAATTAAAACCCAGCAACTTTTTAGGAAAGTGGTCACGGGAATTGTCTGCAGCCTTCCTGTTTTCTCTTGTTTTATTATCTTTAAGGCAGAGCCCCAAACGTGTTCAGTTGTAGAATGTGTGTGGGTGGCTGGTGGGTGACGAAATTAGACCAGTGCTTCGCTCCCTAACAGTAATGTATAGGATGTGCAGTGGGATTAATCGGTGCTGGAGCTGTGTGGGCAAGTTAAATGCTTTCTGAGAGAGATTGATCGCTAGGCAGGGAAGGAGCACGGGGCTAAGGAAGTTGTAGGGGATGTGTATGGATGTTCCGTCTTTAATAAACAGTAGTGTGGAGAGCCGCTAAAGATGCTGTGTTAGATCTGTTGGTTTTAAAGACGAAAACACACATGCACACCCACCCCCACCTAGAGAGCAGCCTCATCCTTGGCCACAAATGGCCTATGAACAGAGCTGATCCTCCAGCACATTAGGTGCAGAGCTCAGAGCTGTCTGGCTCTCTAAGCAGCAGTGGTTTTCACTATCACAACCTCCCTCCTTCTCCTGCCCTCCCTTCATTCGAATACTAAACAGAGCTCCAAACTCTTCATAGTTGGAGTCCCAGAGAGCAGTTTTTATTGGCTTTAGCATCTTCCAGCTTGCCTGCTGAGGAGTAAATCTTAAAGTTAATGGCATGTTGAGTAGCACAAAAACACAGCAGAATGGAAATATACTGGGTTTGTTGGGGTGGGGTAAGGGTGGGGGCTGTAATGGAGAGAGAAACCAACCCTTTTCCAATATGGAGAAAATGTCTGTCTGTTCAGAAGAGAGACTGGGAAGGTGGAATGGGGAAGCAGTCTTTGAAATAATATTCAAGGGAAAGAAAGAAAACACTTTCTTTTCCCCCCTTCCTTCTCAAGTCAACCATATCTTTGTAGTTTTTCCCTTTCCAATCAAAATCACTACAAGCTAATCAAGGTTTATATCAAACCTTTGTCATCCTAATGTCTCCAGTTTAGAAAATAGTAACAATAAAATTTTTAAAGGATAGGTAAGGAAGTCTTTTGCGCATCTTAATGATCAGTTCTTGTGGTGATTTAAGATTTCAAAGTTTAAAAAAAGAAAAAAACAAAACAAAACAAAACCCACTAGATGCAAGACAGTTGTGAAGAGCTGAGCTTCCAATGGGATCTAGATTGAAGTGCTTTATTTGCTTCTTTATTTCAAATGAAAATAAACTTTAACAATATTTCTTGGTTTCTTTTTAACAATCCCTTGCTGGTGTCATCACTTTGTTTTTGATGTAATTTGCACTCTGGTATTATAGCAAAGAAGTAGAATTTTCATCATTTGCCTCAAGGAGGTAGAGAAGGTTATGACAGATAGATAGATAGATAGATAGATAGATAGATAGATAGATAGATAGATAGATAGATCTGCCCAGAATTCCTAGGACAAGCAAAACTTCATTTTCTAAATAATTCCTCCCACAAACTGTCTCAGTCAGTGGCAGGCAGGCCCGTTGGCTCCAGCTTACTGGGTGTCTCATTGTCGCAGCTCACCCTTCAGAGGCTGAGCATATATTTTTCCCTTTGAAACTTCCTGCCTCTACATCCCTCTGATTTTTATACTCGAGTTGGGGCCACAGTGTCCCTAACAGCTCCTGGAAGCTCCCAGACTGCTGAATAAATGAGACAGTTTCTGCGGTCTGGTTTATTCAGTCCTAGAAGAGTTTAAACTCCTCCTTTAGTGATGCAGCCTGATTTATTAGCTAATCCTGATAAAATAAGCCTCCAGCCACCTTAAAAAATTACTCACTTGCCATTGGTGATTAATTACTGTTAAGTCAAAAATCATGATTGGGCTTAAAGAATGAGAGCTGTTTTTGGCTTCTAGATTTTCTCCATCTCTAAATTGACAACATGAGGCTAGGGATAGAATCATGCCTTTGTTAAGCCTGGTTTCAGGGCATATTTGGGGCTCTTGTTCTCCCCTTATTGAATTTCTAACTTCTAATGAATCATAGTGGGATAAAATTGAGAGACATAACAGAACATTGGCTTTCAGTACAGACGGCATATGTATGTTGTTGGTCTTTAAAAAATGAAGTAAAAACTAAATGAAATGCTTGAGATTTCAGGTGGGTATCTATTTGTTGGCCACCTGCCATTTCAGGTAACTAAAGAAGGAAGGAGTTCTAAGGGTTAATGGAATACCTGCCATGCGTAGAGTGCACCTTAAAAGGCAATTACTCCAGTCAAATTGGGAGTCTGTGTAGGAGGGAGTGGGTGGGTGTTGTGGAGCAAACCCTGCCATATCAGAGAAAGGCTGTTGGGCTGGGGAAGCAGCAAATAGCAGCTGTGGACTGGAGTAATTACTGTAAAGGTAAATTTACCCCCTGGAGACCAGAAAACAATTGGAATGAGGGGGATATAGGTGCTAGGCAAAGAGAGAAAGGAAGGGGAAAAAAGCCCAGAATTAAAATTCAAAGAAACAACACCCAAGGAAGAAAACCCAGTTTAATACAAACTCTCCCAGCTGACTCAGAGTCTTCTTTTCTTCCCCATTAGAAGCACTTTGGGAAAGATTGTTTTTCCAGGCTCCAAAGAGAAAGACGTTGTACTATTGATTAGAGAGGAGAGAGGCAAATTCCCGGGGTAGCAGCAGAAGTGAACTGAGAACACATTTTGCCCCTTCTTGTAGAATTTTTCTCTCTTAGAGAAGAGAACGGGTCACCCACTAGTCTAATCTTGCCTTCTCTCATTTCTTTATTTATATGCTTTTCTTCTTTTTATTTCCCAGAGAAAAAACAGTGACTAAAGATACACATATACACACACTTACCCATGCCTTCTAACACACACATACACATTTAGTGGATCACACACCAACAAGTCGGCAGTCCATTCATAACTTTGGTCCTATCTAGCAAGATAGGAGGCAGCAAAGACTGAGTTACTGGGAGACATAAAGACTAGTGCTCTCTGGATAGCCATATTATAATGCATTATTTTTGAAGTCGTTTAAGTCCAATTTTAGTGATATTTAGTATAGTATTTATGAATTAATGTAATCTAAACATACGGATGTCCCCAAAGGTTTAAACAGCCTTTACTACTGAAGTGTGCTTATTCCCAGAGCCTGCAATGCATTTTAATCTAAACAGCCAGGTCCACATCATAGTCTCTCTTGTTATCCAGGCAGAACAGATCTTTGCCTGGGTAACAACTATGCTTTGAATTTTCCCTGTTGCATGGAGGAAAATCCACTCTATTGGCAGCCCGGGGAGGCTCCTAACCCAGAAGCCACAGCTGCTGGGACTTCAGCCCCCTCCTACTTTTACACTATACCCAGAAGGAAGGTAGGGACAGAGTAATGGAACCTTCTGTGGATTCAGCTCCAGAGAATGTATCATTTTAAAATATATACACCACCAAGTGCACAACCTCCCATTTTCACTGTACCTGAGTAGGAAATGCTTGAAGCCCCCCGCTTTGGGGTGCAGGTGGGGGAAAGAGAAAGCATAAGGGTTATGATTATGTTTGGGTGATTTGTGGCTATCTTCATAAAATTATGTCTTGTATTTGCATTTAAGATGTAACAATTCCCAGAACATCAAATTTTCACCGCTTGACTTTAGCCGAGATGGCTCGTTGTTTTCTTTTTGTTTGTTTTGTTTTTTCCTGTATATAGGTGAATTAAAACCATGAGGCTCTATCTGATTTCCGTTTTCAAATGAGTGTAAGAGACAGTGAGGCTGAAGTATCAGCATGGGCATCGTCAGCTCAATTAAGACGAACTTCTTTTTAATTACTTTGAAAAATAAAAATTCAGTTCTGTCCAGGGAAAGAGACTGGCAGAATGGCTGAGTACACACCTATAGTTTTTAAAAGAAGGATTTGCTTTGTCAGAAATAGGGAAAATGGAATAGCCACAATAAAAAAATAAGAAAAATATTTTAAAAAATAAATTTTTCCAAAGAAATTGAGCAATAGTAATCATTACAAAGCTAAAGTATAACAAAGCAACAGCCACCATAAAAAAGATTCCAAATTTCAGATGTTAATAAATGTCCTATTTAAGAGCAAAGACAAAATTATTGAGAAATGACTACTTTATTTAAGAGAC